GCGATTCTGCTTCATTATTTCGCCTGCTGTACCCACGCTTCTTCCCATAGCCCCATCCCCCACTTTTTTTTTTGTATCCTCTTTCTCTGACCCCCCTTAGCTCCAGCAATTGATAGCCATCGTAATGAGCTTTAAGTTAAGGTTCTGATCATCATCTCATGATTGTATTGTTTTTATTTTATTTTTATTTTACGGAACGAGATGAAGATGCTGCTGGCGCATCTTTGACTTCGTCATTTGTTGGTCACGCTGGGACTTTTGTTTTAAATTCTACATTAAGCTGGGTCCATTGATTTTTAGGAAAGGTGCTGGGATTATAATATTTTATTATTGTTTGTTTCAATAAAAGCTGTGTCAGACAAATTCAACATATTTCATATATAAATAATTTACTGAAAATTAGAATTTATAGGAATGTTAGTAAAATTAGTGAATTGTAAATATTTCTTTTAAAAAGTATAAGTTTAATTTTAATATAAAAATATCATTAACCCTTAGATTTTATTTTATAATAACATTCCATATTCGCATTAAAAATCCCACCTATAGAGTATTTTCTTTCGATTTCGTTGCTTTTTGCCTTGCTTGCTTAACCAATACTTTGCCGCTCGATAATGAAAGGAAAGCAAAAAAGGCGGTCGAGAGGGGGGAGCCTGAACTGGGGGTCCCACAAGCCACAAGGCCCGAAAGACACAACAAAAACTTATAATCATCAAGAGTGAATCTGCTGGTGAAATGGCTCGGGTTGTCGTTGTTGCTGTTTTGGTTTTGATTTTGGTGGTGGCGGTACACAGTCCGTCATGTTTGTGGTTTAGACTTTGCTTTCTTTTAAGACGGTGGGTCATTTCATAATATTTGCATTGGTGTGTGCGTTTTTTTGCCGTACAGGTGTTTGTGTGACCCACTTTTCAAGGTATCCCAAACGAGATGCCTGAGAAGTTCTGACAAAACCCCAGCCAATAAGTAAGAAAAGGCACTCTCAATAAATGATGCGTTGGGCATTTCTTGGAAAGGCTAATGTTACATTGACCAAAAGCCCAATTCACTCGATTGGAGGTCTTGTTATTTGGGAACCCATAAGCAAAGGCCAAATTACATAAAAAAATAAAAAAAAATTATCTTTGATTTGTTACAAATTGTTTAACGATCAGATCAATATTGGCAGAGATATGGACATCGCTGTGGGCCATATAGGCCGCCACATGCATTTTCCCATTTTCAAGGGAGTCCATGGGAAAAATGACAAAAAATGGAATCGAAAATGGGTTCCATGGTTTTGATGCAGTTTGGTAGAGAATCGATCCAGAAATCGTTGAAGGTATTCCGTTCAACGATCGGGTCAATATTGGCAGAGATATGGTCATCGCTGTGGGCCATATAGGCCGCCCCATGCATTTTCCCATTTTCAAGGGAGTCCATGGGAAAAATGGACAAAAAATGGAATCGAAAATGGGTTCCAAGGTTTTGATGCAGTTTGGTAGAGAATCGATCCAGAAATCGTTAAAGGTATTCCGTTCAACGATCGGTTCGATATTGGCAGAGATATGGTCATCGATGTGGGCCATATAGGCCGCCCCATGCATTTCCCCATTTCCAAGGGAGTCCATGAGAAAAATTGACAAAAAATGGAATCGAAAATGGGTTCCAAGGTTTTGATGCAGTTTGGTAGAGAATCGATCCAGAAATCGTTAAAGGTATTCCGTTCAACGATCGGTTCAATATTGGCAGAGATATGGACATCGCTGTGGGCCATATAGGCCGCCCCATGCATTTTCACATTTTCAAGGGAGTCCATGAAAAAAATTGACAAAAAATTTAACGAAAATGGGTTCCAAGGTTTTGATGCAGTTTGGTAGAGAATCGATCCAGAAATCGTTAAAGGTATTCCGTTCAACTATCAGATCAATATTGGCAGAGATATGGACATCGCTGTGGGCCATATAGGCCAACCCATGCATTTTCCCATTTTCAAGGGAGTCCATGGGAAAAATGGACAAAAAATGGAATCGAAAATGGGTTCCAAGGTTTTGATGCAGTTTGGTAGAGAATCGATCCAGAAATCGTTAAAGGTATTCCGTTCAACGATCGGTTCGATATTGGCAGAGATATGGTCATCGCTGTGGGCCATATTGGCCGCCCCATGCATTTTCCCATTTTCAAGGGAGTCCATGAGAAAAATTGACAAAAAATTTAACGAAAATGGGTTTCAAGGTTTTGATGCAGTTTGGTAGAGAATCGATCCAGAAATCGTTGAAGGTATTCCGTTCAACGATCGGTTCAATATTGGCAGAGATATGGTCATCGCTGTGGGCCATATACGCCGCCCCATGCATTTCCCCATTTCCAAGGGAGTCCATGAGAAAAATTGACAAAAAATGGAATCGAAAATGGGTTCCAAGGTTTTGATGCAGTTTGGTAGAGAATCGATCCAGAAATCGTTGAAGGTATTCCGTTCAACGATCGGTTCAATATTGGCAGAGATATGGTCATCACTGTGGGCCATATAGGCCAACCCATGCATTTTCCCATTTTCAAGGGAGTCCATGGGAAAAATGACAAAAAATGGAATCGAAAATGGGTTCCATGGTTTTGATGCAGTTTGGTAGAGAATCGATCCAGAAATCGTTAAAGGTATTCCGTTCAACGATCGGTTCGATATTGGCAGAGATATGGTCATCGCTGTGGGCCATATTGGCCGCCCCATGCATTTTCCCATTTCCAAGGGAGTCCATGAGAAAAATTGACAAAAAATGGAATCGAAAATGGGTTCCAAGGTTTTGATGCAGTTTGGTAGAGAATCGATCCAGAAATCGTTAAAGGTATTCCGTTCAACGATCGGTTCGATATTGGCAGAGATATGGTCATCGCGCTGGGCCATATAGGCCGCCCCATGCATTTCCCCATTTCCAAGGGAGTCCATGGGAAAAATGGAGAAAAAATGGAATCGAAAATGGGTTCCATGGTTTTGATGCAGTTTGGTAGAGAATCGATCCAGAAATCGTTAAAGGTATTCCGTTTAACGATCGGTTCGATATTGGCAGAGATATGGTCATCGCTGTGGGCCATATTGGCCGCCCCATGCATTTTCCCATTTGCAAGGGAGTCCATGAGAAAAATTGACAAAAAATTTAACGAAAATGGGTTTCAAGGTTTTGATGCAGTTTGGTAGAGAATCGATCCAGAAATCGTTGAAGGTATTCCGTTTAACGATCGGTTCAATATTGGCAGAGATATGGTCATCGCTGTGGGCCATATACGCCGCCCCATGCATTTCCCCATTTCCAAGGGAGTCCATGAGAAAAATTGACAAAAAATGGAATCGAAAATGGGTTCCAAGGTTTTGATGCAGTTTGGTAGAGAATCGATCCAGAAATCGTTAAAGGTATTCCGTTCAACGATCGGTTCGATATTGGCAGAGATATGGTCATCGCGCTGGGCCATATAGGCCGCCCCATGCATTTCCCCATTTCCAAGGGAGTCCATGAGAAAAATTGACAAAAAATGGAATTGAAAATGGCTTCCAAGGTTTTGATGCAGTTTGGTAGAGAATCGATCCAGAAATCGTTAAAGGTATTCCGTTCAACGATCAGATCAATATTGGCAGAGATATGGACATCGCTGTGGGCCATATAGGCCGCCCCATGCATTTTCCCATTTTCAAGGGAGTCCATGGGAAAAAATGACAAAAAATGGAATCGAAAATGGGTTCCAAGGTTTAGATGCAGTTCGGTAGAGAATCGATCCAGAAATCGTTAAAGGTATTCCGTTCAACAATCAGATCAATATTGGCAGAGACATTGACATTTCTGTGGGCCATATAGGCCACCAAATGCATTTCCCCATTTTCAAGGGAGTCCATGTTGACAAAAAAGGAAATCGAAAATGGGTTACAAGGTTTTGATGCAGTTCGGTAGAGAATCGATCCAGGAATCGTTAAAGGTATTCCGTTCAACGATCAGATCAATATTGGCAGAGATATGGACATCGCTGTGGGCCATATAGGCCACCAAATGCATTTCCCCATTTTCAAGGGAGTCCATGGGAAAATTTGACAAAAAATGGAATCGAAAATGGGTTTCGTGGTTTTGATGTAGTTTGGTAGAGAATCTATCCAGGAATCGTTATAATGGCACTTCTATAAATTTGTTATTGAAATTTTCGAAGGGGTCTTTTATAAATTTTTACAACAATTTTATTAAAAAATCTTCATAATCTAATAATTTAATAATTTAAAAATTAGCCACGTAAGAATGTAAACTCAATGTAAAATACACATGGTGTAAATATACTCATGCTTCACTGCTTCTGTCGACAACCAATAGATGTCGCTCAATGATGTACGGAGGTTCGTTACAATTGATATTACTTTAAAGAAATGAATTATTTTTATTAAAATCGGTATTTAAATTAGTGCATAAAAACACAATTGAAAAACCATTTCTTTCTTATTAAAATCTTTGCGTGATATCTTCTCAAACGATTTAATTTATATAGCACATGACCTTCAATCTATGTGGATCAGTCATGAAAAGGTCAAATCCCAAACTTTGATTAGAAATACGGCAGAGAAAAAAGTTAACCACGGAAATTTTAATATCAACATCATCAGCTGTTCGAGTCGTTTCCCAATGGGCTCCACTGATAAGCTCCTGTCTGGCTCTGGGGCTTTCTTGTTGTTATTGTCCGACTGCCTGGAACTTGCCAGAGTAAGGTTAGCGAATGACATCAAGCTATTGATTTTTACTCTTGTTAATTTTCCATTACAACTTTCCGCAATTATTACTAAGAGTATCAAACTAATGTTTTTTATTGACTATAAACAACAAAAAATGTTTTTTACGGTCTCTCCATGGGCCACCCTTGCGCTCTCGTTCTCTTTAGTTTTATGCCCCCCAAGAGATTGCAGCTTTCTCAGAGAGCCAACAACAGCTGCTCCCCAAGTTGGGGCCCCAACTCATGGCATGTTTTGGAAGCAACAAATTCCGTTTCAAACGCTCCTCCACCGTCAACGAGGCTCCACCGCGGTTATATTGTTGGATGCGAAACGCGACGTGTGTGCGCCATTATAGTTCACAATCAAGAAAAAAAATCAATTCTAGTGCCAAAGTGCGTGCAATTAAAGTGCCAAATTAGGATTTTGAAAAGCTTAACAAGATGGAGCGTATTTTGAGGGGTATTATGCGGTACCGGAACACAACCCGCGAACAAATGGTAAAAGAGTTCCAGAAAGTGCGCGACAATCCCGAGGTGAGCAAATACATAGCTTAGTTTATAGGTCAAGATTTGGAGCAGACGGTCTAGAATTTTTTATTTGGCATTGAGCACAAACAAAAAACGGCTATTATAAGGTTATTGCATGTGTTCTATATCATTATCACATTTTTATTCGACTTGTCAGTCTCAAACGAAGCGCTCTCTCGCTTTTTATGGACTCTCTTAATTTTTTGTTGCTATTTTATTTTTGGTAAACAAACAGCAAAGGTAAACCGGTTGCTCAAACGCCCCACCACCACCCCTTCGACTTGTTTAATATTATATTTTATTTTTATATACTTAAGCGATTGCTTTTCAGAGCTCTTGAGGTTCGTGCATTGCACCTTTGCTAATTATGATCAAATTAATTTTGTTCTAATTAAAAATTTGTGAAAGGTCTTTTAGAACACCGGGTGAAAAATACCCTAACATTGAAATTTTAAAGACATTTTGATATATTTTTGTATGCGTTTAATTAGAGATTAATTTGCATTTTAATAGTTTTCACTTGTGTTTTGACTTCACCCAGAATATTAAAATATTGCTTTCCCATTTCTTGAGATTTTTGAAAAATATTTATTCAATAAGTATATTCCGATCAATACCGTTTTTTTAATTTGGTTTTTGAATATAAACTTTATAAGAATTTTAGTATAATCTATTATTTTGCCCCCAACTGTTTAGCATTTTTTATGTTCCTCCATCAATACCCTCAATTTTGTTTGATTTTTCCCATTGGGAGCCTTGAACTGAACCCATTGACACTTTGGCCAAAAGCCAAGTATGTCATAACTTGCTATATCTATCTTTTAAATATATTTACGCACCAGCCGATATCTGTACTAACTCTTGATACGCTTTATCTTTCAGCCCAAGGCCGTTTTCTTCACCTGCATGGACAGTAGAATGATTCCTACCCGATACACGGACACTCACGTGGGTGACATGTTTGTGGGTATGTCTATGAAGTCATACATTGTTATTAATAGATTAACACACCTCCCAATTCCCACCGATTAGTGCGAAATGCAGGAAACCTAATACCTCATGCCCACCACTTCCAGGATGAGTATTTCAGCTGCGAGCCTGCTGCCCTGGAGCTGGGATGCGTGGTGAACGATATCCGGCATATAATTGTTTGTGGACATAGTGATTGCAAGGCCATGAATCTACTTTATCAACTGAGGGATCCTGAATTTGCTTCCAAGGTATGAGATATTTTATACTGAAAGATGAAAATGTTATTTTTTTTTGTTCTTGAAAATTTTAATAACTTACCTTTCATTTCCAGCTCAATCGGCGACTCTCACCCTTGCGATCCTGGATGTGCACACATGCCAACACCAGCTTGGAGAAATTCCAGGAGTGGCGTGACGCTGGAATGAAGGACCCCCTGCTATTCTCCTCCGAGACGCCATTGCGTCGATTTGTGGCCTACATCGATGAGGAGCAGAAATTCGCCGTCGAGGATAAACTATCCCAAATCAACACCCTTCAACAGATGTCTAACATTGCATCGTATGGCTTCCTGAAGGCGCGTTTAGAATCTCATGATCTCCACATTCATGCCCTCTGGTTCGACATTTATACGGGTGACATTTACTACTTTAGTAGAGGCGCCAAGCGATTTGTTGCCGTTGACGAGAAGAGCGTGGAAGAATTGTCCGCAGAGATCAGGAGATTCTACTCGTAGGCTCAGCCGGCGGACCAACTAGATTATCTGTGATATGTGGGCCTTATACCGCGTACGGCATTTACAAGTGACCAATTGTTTAGGATTGTTTTGTGTATTTATATGTATGTAATAGTTTTTGTATATAAACTTAAGGCCTACGAAGGTTTCAACTTACAAATCTAGGAAAAATCAACGAAAGAGATGGCTAAATATCGCTCGCTTACTGTACTGCTTTTGTAACACACTGAATATATAAGAAATTAAGCAATTAACGGGGCCAAATGTGGGGTAAAAATTTCGGAAAACGAGCTATATCAGTAAGGGAGCGGTATTCACGTACATTATACATATTTTATAGTTATGGGAAGCGGTAAGACTTTAAGCTGGCACCTTGGGCGCTTCGATGTGTGCACAACAGACGGTTTTTGTCTTTTCGAACGGATAACTCGGGGTTTGGATAACGGAAAGTACATCGGAGTGGACATCACCATCAATGGTACTTGTGTCCGTGGTGGTTCATGGCACTGTTGTTTGGGTTCTCCAGCTCCTCGAAGTACTTGCGGGCATTCCGTATGTTTACCAATGTGGCCTCCGAGGGCAACGTGGGATCCGACATGACCACCATTACGTATGTGTTGCTGGTGAATGTGTCAATGAATGCAGCAAATGCGCTGTTTCGCACCTCCATCGACTGGAATTTGGCGCCCAGTTTCGAGCAGCTCAGCTTGAATTGCTTAATTATATTGGAGACCTTCTCGAAGCGATGCGAATCGCGATTTTTCTTGCTCTGACAGTGGGAGATCACCAAGAAGGTGGCTTTCTCGAACAACAGCACCTCGTCAGCCTCGATAACGTTGGCGAAGTGAGTCACAGAGTTCTCCAGAGCTGCCACATTCGGTATCAGCATGGTGACGATGGAAGACCAGGCTCTATAATGGGATAGAGGTGAAATGAAGGTCGTGGTTGGACAGACTGAGGTAACGATTATGCCAATAAGAGTTACCCCAAGTTCACTTACTTGTATAAAGTTTCATCCCAAATGCTTGTGCGGAAACAGGTAACGTTACCTGGTTTCGACAACCGAATGAGGTCGTCTTCGCGATCCTTGAACACACCTTCGCGATGCTCCTCCGGCACCAGATCCATTTTGTGCACCAGGCAGAAAATCTTCGCCTCGGGTGAGTTTTGAAGCAGTGCCTCCAAGCAGCTTTGGTAGTAGTGGACGTCGCGCTCCATTTCCTGGCTCTCCACATCAAAGACGTAGATGAGCACCTCCACATTTCGAAATATGTTGTCACGTTGCGAGGCAAAGTACTGCTTCATGAAACCCTCCTGCCCACCGCAATCCCACAGATTCAAGACTAGGTTGCCGAGAAACCGCACATGCGAGTGCTCCACGTCGACTGTAAAAGGGTCACCAGAGATAAATATCTACGGAATAGGACACCCGGTTACCATTACTCACTTGTTGCTCCGAGGCGTGTCGTATCACGGGCTATATAGTTGGCAAAGATAATGGAACGCATACTGGTTTTGCCAGAACCGCTTTTTCCCATCAGCAATACCTAAATATTACAATTTTTCCTATTTATGGGGTATCTGGGAATAATTAAAATGCAAGAATATTACCTTTTTCTTCATCGTGTTATTTTGTGGCGTTTTCCAGGCGAAATCAACAATAAAAACAATCTAAAGATACAAGGCAGGGCGGTGCATCAGCTGATTTTGCAATCGATAGATATTCAAAGTGCTATAAAAATTATTATAGCATATAGTGTTGGTAAACACTAATATTAGTGTGGAAAAACAGCCCATAAAAAACCCTATGTTTTTCGACCGGCAATAACAATAATAAAAACAATCGGATTCATTATTAAATATTATTATGAACGATATTAAAAGCTTGAAGGACCAGCAGCGAGAGAAGCATCCTGGTTTTGACGGCTACCTCGACTGCATGACACGCTCCCTTTTTACAGGCCTAGCTGCATTTTGCTTAAGTATGAGATTTAGCTGATTGCCAAGAATAATTGCATAATAATTAATGAATTATTTTCCCCACAGGCTTTTCTGGCACTTATTTTGCACAGAAAATTGTACAGTCCCGAATAAGGTACCCACCCAAGTATAACATCCTAGTTTCTTCATTGGTAGCCACTGGGGTTTCCTACCAGACGACCTCGGAACGCACAAAATCTTGTCAAGCCAGGTGGATGGCTTTTGAGGAAAAGCATTCTGTTCTGGACAAGGAAACATATTAAACCTGCAATAAATTATAAGTACATTAGCTTAAGTAATGTCTGGTATAAGGGTATTGGTCCGTCTGGCCAGGGTTTCTTCCCTGCGTCCAGTTGCGATGATGCCGTCACGTTTTAAGTACACACAACATCAAGGAGTTAAAGGAATAAGGAACCGGAAGAGCTTCTTTGAGGCGCAAATGCAAGCCGGACAGCGAGACGACGACCACGAAGAGGAGGAAACCTTACCTAGTGGCGACCTTACTGACGTGCGCTTTTTAGATGATCGGTCAGTACAAAACATTTGCAAAGAAGAACAATAATTTAATATTCTTTTGATTTCTTAGTGCCTATGATGAGGTAGCTGGTGGAGCAATGCGAATCACCAGAGATATAGCCACTTCTCAGCAAGTTCTTATCTTACAGCCCTATGTAAAATGGGCAGCCAAACGGCAACCAAGTCTGACCGATGTCCGGCCCGATGATCAGCTTGCAGAAGCGTCAGCTTTAGTTCACTCCCTTCCCAATTGGCAGGTAGCCAAAGCGCTCAAAGTGCCTCTGGAAAGCCTTGAGAAGAAAACGCTCTTTGGCAGTGGAAAGCTAGCGGAACTTAAGGCACTGGTTACAGAACTTCGCCAGGAGCGGCACCTTACTTGCCTTTTTGTAAGCAAGGGAACGCTGTCCTTTGCCCAAAAGCGATTCTTAGAGGCTGAGTTCCGGTTGCCAGTAATGGATCGTTACTCCGTGGTTATCCAAATTCTGCGACTGCATGCAACAAGTGCCGAAGCTAGGCTGCAAGTGGCGATGGCCGAGCTACCGTACATTTGGGCCCAGGCCAAGGATGCCAGTGTCACTCAGACTCGTCGCCAGGGTTATGCCCTTACTGATCTGCAAAAGGAGATCCTGCGAACCAGAGAACGAAAGCTTCGGGCGGAACTGGATCGGGTTCGTCGGCAGCGGCAGTTGCTGCGACAAAAACGAAAGCAACAGAATTATCCCATAGTGGCGGTGGTGGGCTATACAAACGCCGGAAAGACCTCCTTGATCAAAGCACTGACTGTGGAGGACGCACTTCAGCCTCGGAATCAGCTATTCGCGACTTTGGATGTTACTGCTCATGCTGGATGCTTACCCTGTAATCTGGAGGTGATCTACATGGATACGGTTGGGTTTATGTCCGATCTCCCGACTGGTCTTTTTGAAGGTTTTGTGGCTACTTTGGAGGATGCTATGCTTGCGGTGAGTTGGGCGCAGGCAGTATTTTTTATATTTTTTAACTTTTATTTCTGTTTTAGGATGTAATTATCCATGTTCAAGACCTGTCGCATCCTTGCCACGTGGCCCAACGTAATCATGTTGAAGCTACACTCCGTTCGTTGGCCTTTAATATGTCTGGTGGAGATTCAACAACCAGCCAGCTTCCGCCGATCATAAATGTGTACAACAAATGCGACCTGATACCCATCAAAAGCCAGACATCATCTGAAACCGACCACCACATATCAGCTCGTACCCAAATGGGATTGGACTCCCTCTTAGTTGATATTGAACAGCAAATATTATTGGCCACAGGGCGAAAGAAACTCCAAATGCGAGTACCAAACGGGGGCCAAGAAATGGCGTGGCTCTACAAAAACGCCGCTGTAGTGGAGACGATGGCGGATGAAAAGAATCCCGAATGGCTGATGATGCAGGTGGTCATTACCCAGAGAACACTGGATCAGTTTAAACGGCAATTCTGTCAATGACCCAATAATCAATGATACGGTTCCACCAATATAGTTTCTGTGGCGCAACTGGCACCGTCTAAATTCTTTATTGTTATTGCTCTTAGTTTTGTTGGTTTAGTTGCTATCGAGTGTAATTAGGATTGGTGTTATTTTCACATCTTTATTTCTATATAAGTATAAAAATTTACTACCACAAAAATAAAACGATAAAGTTTCTAAAAATATCAATAAACAGAACATTTGTATTGCACTTCTGACTCTTTGTGCTGTTTCGGACCGTATCTTTTTTGGGATCAGGTCGTCGTCCAACCATTACTATATATAGTTATTGGCAAGTCTTCTGGCTTGCGTTATAATTCATTTGTTTGGTGCTGACTTCTTTATTGGCACAATAGAATGATTAAAACCAGGAATGGGCTGATAAACATAATCCAATTTAAATAGGAAAATAAAAACTAATACCATCTTAAATAGACATTTGTGCAAAACTATTCAAAAAGTAGTTGTTCGCATTAGTCAAAAAACCAATTGCCAAAATATATCTAGCTAAATGGCTATTTTGGCATTCAAAACGATCTTTAAAAATTACAAAAATAACAAAAAATAAAACTATTCAAACGGCTTTATGTTTATAATTTGTAAAATGTCATTTCTCTTCTAAAATGTTGAATTTTCTATTTGCTTCCATCGTACGAATTAAAAAAAGGTACACTTTCGACTTTTGTTGGGCCACATTTCAGTTAATTTCTCATCTAAAAATGTACAGAGAATTTCATTTCGATGGGATCTATCAATAACTGGCTCTTTTCTACAAAAGTTTGATTAAAATTCGATTTTTAGATGAGTTTTTGGCTTTTCGTAAATCGTTTATGTTCACGGGTACCAAACAGAACAATATCAGTATTCTTTCCCAAATAGACATTATTACTTAGATACATGTTTTAAATACAGGATGTATAAAAAAGGCTTTCTAATTTTTGATGCTTTGATCCTTCAAAGTTCGAGTATGGGGAAAAATAATTGTAGAATTTTTTTTTTTTAATAAATAAAATTGCTTAAATTTTTAGGGGAATGTCAAACCAATAAGTTACTCAAGAAAATCAGGTTTAATAAAGGAAAGGAGACAAACATGTATCCAAGATCCATTCTAGTGATCTACTTAAAAATAAAATGATTCCCTTTTTAGCTTACAGATCCCTTTCAATTAATTAAACCGAACCCACCCACCCCAACATAGACACCCTTACTTCCTACGCGAATGAATGAGAGGATGCGATGAGCCAGCGGAGGAGCTGCCAGAGAGGAGCCACTACCACAATGAAAAACAGAATGCAGACGATACGACAATTCTTAAGCAGGCCGATAACAAACTGGATGATTTGCATGCACAATGAAATGAAAATTGTACTACACTGACTGGGATTCGACTCAGGTTCTGGATTTAATTCCGTACCCTTTGCCGCCTCCTCCACCATCGGCCCTTTACCATTTGCCAGTTATAACTTGGCTATGTGGAACTGGGCCTGCTGGTTGGCCGCTGTCGAATATTGAGCAAATGGCATCAGCTCGCAGTACTCAAGCAGCTGTCGCTCCAGCTCCAGAAGACACTTTCCTGGCCCTGCGCCGACTTTCATCTGCCCAGAGTCCTTGCACTTAAGAATGTAGCCCTTTTGAATCAGAGCGTATATGGCAATATTGAGGTTGTCTAGTGCCAAACAATAAGGATGCACATGAAGGGCAGATCCATCGGGCAGCTGCAGCAACTGCTCCACATGCTGTTGGACGCGAATGAGTAGGTCCTTCCCGCTGAACTCTAGATCTGCAGGAATCTGTAATAAAAACAATCAGATATGTAAGTCTTAAGAGCCCTTAGTTCTTGGAGGATCTACTTACCTTTCTTAAGGTCACCACCAGTTGGTAGTAGAGACACAAGAATGGCGCCAAAGCTGCCAGGATAACGTGTGAGCACTCGTTGTCTTGCACCTTGACCTTTCCATTGGGCTCCACTTCCACCACATTCTCATCCAGTAAGAGCTGCAAGTGCGTTTCAAACTCTGCGGCCTCTCGGTTCGACTCTATGATGAACTCGTGCTGGAAAAGTGCATCCATATTGGTCACATGAACATGAAGGGCGGACAAAGTTGACTCATATGAGATATATGGGTTACTCTTCTGATTCTGCTGTTCCTTGAGAGCTGCCAGCAGCAGATAAGCCGGTCGGGCTAGCCAAAACATACACGGATTTATGTAGAGCTGCAGGGCCAGCATTGGAACTGCCACTGCCATTGTTTGCGGGCACAGAGCATGAGCTTTCAACCGCTTTCCATCGAATTGGGTGGCCAACTGCTTGGCTGTCATAGGTGTGAATTGTAGTCGGGCGCTGACGAATCGCAAAATATTCGAGTGAATCTCCACAGCGTCAATAATATCCGGCTTTATGCTTTTGGGTGTGGCGCTCACATGCGCTCCAAGCTGCTCAAAGATGCGCTTTAAAAGCAGCACTCCCCGGGATAGCTCATCGATGTTGACACTCTTCTGGGCATACAATTGACTAGCGTAGTACAAACTCAAGAGGTTAAAGGTGGTGATCACAATGCGACGCTGCTGTTGGTAGATAATCTCGTTGGCCAGCTGCTTCACCAACTCGACCTCTTGGCGGTTGAGCTTCTGCAGATGTCCAGCCACCCCGGCTCGCTGCATCCTGTGGCCACTGTCGTGTCCGAAGAACTCCCGCACCGAAATGGGCTCTCCAAAGTCCAGGAACATCTTGCCAAAGCGCTCGTCTATGATTTTAAGAGCCTTGAAGAAGCCCTTTGTGGACTCTTTAGGCTTAGGTACTCCCAGCAGCTCATACACGAAGAGTTGCTCTTCCAGGACTCGCTCGTAGGCCACACTCACTGGCACAACCATAACGTCAGGAACTTCTCCAGTGAAATAAGGCAACAAAGCCATCGAAAGGAGACCAATCTTCGGGACTAGGGCTTTGAAATTTCTCGACCTGGTTCCCTCGATGAAGAATTCCACGCCGATGTGATAGCTGGCCACCAAGGCGTACATGTACTCCCTGAAGATGTCCCAGTAGAGCTCGTCGTTGGAGAAGCTTCGGCGCATGAAAAAGGCTCCAGTCTTTCGGAGCATAGTGCCCATGCCAAACATTGAGTGGAAATCTAAAAATGGTTTAAAATAATTAATAGAGCTCATCTTTAATTAGTTAATTATCAATCTATAATCGAATTCTAGCTGCACAATTGACAATTAATTAATAACGTTAATTGTACTAATTGAAATTCTCATCTATTAACACCTCTGCAAGTTGTGCTAATTCACTCCTCATTATATCAAGGGTTATAGAGCGGAAAACAATTAAATATGGTAATGAAAAAAATTCACAAAATTCACAAACCATTAGACCGAAAATAAAAAAATTCTGTTTATTATATAAATGATTCAACACCTACCCATTCCGGCCGCTATTCCTGGTATTTCGATGTCGTAATAGTAGCATATGTACGACATGAGAATAAAGTCCATGTAGCTCCGGTGACTTGGCAGGTAGAGGACTGGACACTTGCCCATATCCTTGCGCACATTGGCCATGCTCGCGGAATTGACGTAGAATCCATCGCAGATTCGCTTTCCAATCGCTGTGATAGCGACTCCGCACCATCGGATTATGGCCATATTTCGCTCCAAACCGATTTCGTCGATGATGGCCTTTGCCTGTTTTTCCAGCTGCTTTACAGACTGTCCGGATTCTTTGGCATAATGCTCCACAATGGAGCGCAGCTTCTCACTCTTGAGGACATGTTGCTTTAGCTTCTGAGGATTGAGGTAACGCTCAAATTCGTAAGCCACCTGAGGGTTGAACTCCCTGATCATGGAGGCCTCCTTTCCCGGGGCTATTATATTTTCAAAGTTTCGCATGTAATCGGCGGCAGGTGGGGCCTCCTGCCGATCCCTGGACTCTCCTCCGCCGCCTCCTCCCTTCACCGCTGTCGGGTTCCTTTCCATCTTTATACACTTTACCTGGAAAATTGAAAGAAACAACGTGCGTGCTGTCAAAAATGCCTTTCAGCAAAAAAAAAAATAAGGAAAACAACGTCGCCTCGAGTGCGGTTCTATTTGACGAATCAACTGTCAAGCAACCGGCCTCACTTAACAGGCATCTTGACACACAGACACACTGCCTGCCATATACCCGCACACTTCTATATAATATTGACTGAGATATCGCCTGCACTCGGAGAAAATATTTGCATTGAACTTAACTGGCAGGTGATAAGGGTGTTGGGAAGGTAAATGGGGAAAAGTCTCCTAAGAGCTTAAGTCTCTTGCTCAATAATGCATTATACTGCGATAAAATATTTTATTTTATTAATATTATTAATATTTTCTTGGAGTGCATAACTATCCACTAGGTTTATTATCTGACCGATTCAACAAAGTTGAGGTAATCAACGAGCATTGCGTGCTAAAGGTCTTTTTTTCGACTGCCTTTTATTTTTTTAAACTTTTAAAATTTTTAAAACTTTTAAAATCTGTTAAAGATTAGGCCCATAATCCCAAAAACATATAAAATTTAAGGATTAATTAATTAGTTTAATAGAAATATTTACTTTAAGAGCATACAATATAGGTTAAGTGGAAAAATTAGATTAAAACCCGCGAAAAGCTGACCTATCTCAAACTGAATCTTGGAATCTGGGAGGATCTAGGAGGAGCTTCGACCGTGACACGACACGTGCTCAGTACTAGGCCGGTAAGATAGTTTCGACGTCACTCATCAGGTGAGGAGGAAAAGCACCTGGAATCAACAACAAAGTATTTATAGGGCCATAAAGGCACACCCTCTTACGCAGACACTGCCAAAAGATAAAGCCCAGAAGGCACTTGATTTGATTCAAAATTCAAGTTTAATCGGCTTGGCAACAAGGCCTATGTAAATTTTTAATTATAAATGAGAATTATAATAAGAAACATTTGTGAACTATCCCAGGCACACACACACTCTGAAAATAAATATGTAAATATAGAAGTCGTTGTTTGCGAAATGCATTTTAACATATTTGACTTGGCCATTTAACCGGTAATTGCAATTTGACACGATTAGCGAAACTCCACTACCAGTTTTGTTTACAAATGCAACAAAATATCACTTCACTGTCGTCCGCAGAGTAATGCAATTTTAGTCACTTTCTATTTTCGTTAATACATAAGCTCTTTGCAGGGGATCCAAGGCATGACGACTATATTGTTATATATTTAAACGCTATCAAACTAAATCAATTTTTGTCACCTGAGATAACAGGTTGTTGTTCCCAAAAAAAAAAAAATAGTACTAGAAACCAATTAAAAAATGATTCACTTAGGTGATAAGGAAACACTTGATATTGAATCTGCTACCCAGGTGGTCAAAAAATAGGTTTTTTTTTTTAGGGTAATAGACCGTTGTTACGTGTTTAATTCACCGGCAAGGATACGTACTGGGGGAAAATTCGATACAAGATGCGCGTGGTGCGAATTATGCGAAATTCAGTATCCTCTTTCAGACCCGGTTTCCAGGTGTGCGTTTGCAGCTTTTAATTCACAATTCGCACTTTGTTTCCACTCTCTCTGACCGATTTATATTCAATTTGTTGTTTTTGTGCAGCTCGGCGGCGCTTGTTTTTGTGGAACATCTGCGGACTGCAAGCAGCTGCGGTCGATATTTGAGGCCTTGGCGGTCTATGCACGATACGGCCAGACATCATGCAGGAAAGTATTTAGGGGGTGTTTCTATTCAAAGTTTTGAAATAATTTTAAGAAATTTATTTAGGGATTTGTAATGCTTCTAACATGTTATAAGGCAACATTATAATAACAAATTTGGAGTCATTAAAAAATATTACAAAACTAAATAGTAAAGAATTACATTTTATAAAAATTTATTTTTGTTTGATTTATTATAACAAGAAAAGGCACGTTTTTACTATTAAACAATAAATATTTATGAACAAATCATAATATAATTCACTATTTAAAGAGTTACTACTGTTTATTAAACAAAAACTGGTTTAAAGCTTTCGCCGCCAAGTTTGACTCATATCGGGTGGCAACGCAACGTCTTGGATTTATCGCAACCCATTCGTCTGACCCTACTCATCCACTATCAAGTGTTTGTTGCTGCTGGCCAGCTACGGGTCTCTGGATTTGCATTGCGCAAAGTGCAAAACTCAGCGGAAAAAATCACATTTGCCATGTCGGTTTGGAGCCACGTACTGGAGGCGATTTTGACGCTGGTCCACATCTTGACCGATCGCCTGCTGGAGTTCGGCTTAGGTTGGTATCTGGGACCACACAGGCGAGTTCAGGGACCTCCCAGTACCGACCAACAAGCTCTGTTGTCCAAGAGTGCCGTGGAACTTGCTCAATTGATACGGGAGCGAAAAATCCGCAGTTACGACATCGTCAAAGCTTACTGTGAGCGTATCGAAAATGTGAACCGTGATCTCAACGCTGTGGTGGATGGACCCTTCCCAGAGGCCTTGGACCAGGCGCGCGAAATTGATAGAAGGTTGTCTAAGAAGGAATACAGTGATGAGGATTTCCGGAGGCAGCCCTTCCTGGGTGTTCCCTTCTCGACTAAAGATAGTACTTCTGTGGCGGGAAAACTGCATACGCTGGGATTAGTATGCCGAAAGTCTGAACGATCTGCCACGGATGCTGAATGCGTCCGTCTGATGAAGGAAAGTGGCGCAATCATAATAGCCACCAGCAATGTTCCGGAGGTGAACAAGTGGATTGAGTCCAGAAACATGCTGATTGGAGGCACCAATAATCCCTATGATCTCCGACGATCCGTGGGTGGCTCTTCCGGAGGCGAAGCTGCTCTCATTGCCGCCTGTTGTACGGGTTTTGGACTGGGCACGGATATTGGAGGTTCCATCAGAATTCCAGCCTTTAATTGCGGTGTGTTTGGACACAAGCCCACTGCTGGAGCTGTTAACATGGCGGGTTGCACCTTCAGAACCGGAAAGGAAAAGGATACCATGGTCTGCGCCGGTCCAATGAGTCGTTTCGCCAAGGATCTTTTGCCCATGATGCAGGTCTTGGTGGAACCAGAACTGAAACCCAAACTAAAACTTGATCAGGAAGTGAACTTGAAGAAATTGCGATACTTCTACGTGGCATCCAATGGCATGGCTCAGTGCAATCCTGTAAACAAAGAAACCGAGAGAGTCATGTACAAGATACGTAAACATTTTGAGGGCATCAGTGGTCAGGATGTGCGACATGCCAACGTACCGAACACCAAGTTGACTGGAAAAATGTGGCGCTACTGGATGACCCAGGAGCCGGCTAACTTTAATCTTTTGCTTGGAAACGGAGCTGAACTCAATCCATTTGTGGAGCTATTTAAAAAGTTACTGGGTCAGAGTGACTATAGCATGGCTGCTATTTATGGACTAATTGACAGTGTTTTGCCGAAGGAGTCTGAGAAACTGATGCGACAGGCCACCGCCCAGTGTAAGAAGGCGGTGCAGGATCTGCTCGGCGAGGATGGAGTGCTCTTCTACCATAGTTCTCCCAGGACGGCTCCATTCCACTTCTATCCGCTGGTTAAATTCAACGACTTTGCCTATTTCAGCCTGTTCAACGTGCTCCATTTGCCAGCTACCCAGGTTCCCATGGGATTGGACTCCAAGGGAATGCCCCTGGGTATTCAGGTGGTGGCCAATTTAAACAATGATCGTCTTTGTTTGGCGGTGGCGGAGGAGTTGGAGCGGACTTTTGGCGGCTGGGTGCCACCATTTCCCTTGAAACAGTAAACGCTCTGAAAACATATGTAACTATCTTTAGGTGTTGGTAGGATTTGAGACTGTCGCTTTGTTACCGGACTTTAATAAATTTATTTTTTAATAAACAAATTTAAAGAGTTTGTTTTTACTATTTTCTAAACGTTTATTAAAAAGATTAAATCCAAAGAAATGAAAACAATAACAAACATCAACATATGTTTGATAGAGCTGCCAAATTTATTATTTTTATTATGGTCTGGCAACTCTTTTTCACGCTGGTCACACTAGACATAATTTTGAAACAAAACCCGCGAGGAATTTTTAATAAATAATAAATTGTAAATTAATCTTCTTCCTAAATATAAAAGTTTTCTTTTTTTTTCTTTGTTCATTTATAGTTCATATTTATAATTTCTTTGACTATTTTATGCTATAGTATATTTTGCACAACCGTTTTTAAGTCGAATTTTTTTTAACGAGTTATTTGAATACCTTATTATAACTATGTATATATGAATATAATATATATTTAATAAATCATTTTTTAGCTGCTCATGCTAATTAAGCATACTCTTATAAAATTTTTTCTCCTCTATCGATATATATAGATATATATATATAGATATGTGGAATCACTTCATTTCTCAAAAGGTAGGACCTTTGAACTTTGTTAGGCGGCCGTGATAAATGGAGATGGTGTCAGGAAACACTTAACCCAAAACTTGTCAGAGCTATCCTGGAGCTGGGGAATTGGTTTAGGGGCTTGAGGATGTTGTCGCGCTGTCAACAATTAATTTGTCCACACACGCAGACACACACGCACCCAACATTGACATCTTTTGTGGACTCCCTTTCTGAAAATTGCAAGATGTGTGCACGGTGTGCAATGTGCCCCCAACCCCTAAGGCCAAATCCCCAATGTCCAACTCCTTTTCGAAATATAGATAAGTGCACTGAAAAAAATATATTTGTAAGCTTTAAATTATTGTAATAGATAAAGTCCTTTAGATTTAAAAGTCATTTATAAATCTTAAAGACAATTATGAGTAAGATAGTTTTATTGTATTGTTTATTCATAGAATATATACATATGGGTTATTTTGATTCTATTAAATTATTATTAAATATTATATCTAAACATACCTACATATTTAAGTTGTACTGCTTCCTTTTGCTAAGCGTGGCTGCCTGGGTATTCTTTGCTTCGTATTTCAAAGTCTGTCTCCTCACGACCATAAATTCAGTGAAACATGAATGCGACTTTTCACCCTGTCTCAGCCTCATCTGGCTCACTTTGTCTAATTTAACACTACCGTCCGTTTCACCTTTGGGTCCGTTTCCGCTGACCAAGCGACAAATATGCCTTAATACTTCGAATGGTCTAGCTCTGCAGAAGTCAAGTGCGGACGCGTGTGCAATTGTCCAAAGTAATACGACTATTTCTGTTATAGCCAGCTTTTGTCCTTGTTTGGCTCTTCTGTTTATGTCCTTGCCTTGTTTTCGTTTCGGTTTGGGTGCGTTTCTGTTTTTGAAATATTAACGACGCCCTTTTGCTGTTTTTTGGCCCCGACCCTCGTCCCAGTTCATAACTTGGCTTTCAAGTGTTTTTGCCTGCATTTTATGTATTTGGGGAGGATTATCTTTTAACAACAGATTGGCTACCATAACATACCAAAAGTAAATACGAATATGATCAATTGTTATACGGTAAGGGTCTTTTCATATATTTAACGTTAAATATTTTTATATTTTCAAATAACGGGTTAAATTTTTATTCCCTAAAACGAACAACTCTTTTACATGTTATTGTCCATTTTTTTTTACAAACTAAACTTTGAAATTCCAATGCCGACAATAAAAACACCATGTTATCCTCTAGCTTTTTGTAACTCAAATGTGAAATTATGAACCAGTGGAAAATTCATGGCAGATTTTCAGTATCCACGCCTCTGTCCTGAGCCTTTGACAAATCCACAAATCCAGCTACTAAACAGCAATTTTTTATGAACTCCTCTTCCAGCCCAACCAAAGGGACAGTCTATGCAAAGGAAAAAAGTAGTTGGACTTTCAATTTTTTTTTTGTCATTATTTGCTGTTACAAAAACGTCTACATTGTTGAAATTCCTTTTGCGAAAATTGCCACGTGACACAAAGGCGTCTGGAGCACATATAGGAAGAGCGCCTTTTATTGGCCTGCTTCGCCGAATGTGGTTGGGATTTGGGGTGTCCTGGTGTTTTGGTGGGCGGGTTTTGGCTGGCTGGTCAGTGGGGTTGGGGTTTTTTGGGGCCTGGCCGAACACAATAGGCCCGAAAATGACGTTGCAACAATTAATGTGAACAGTTCTGCAGTCGTCCTCGGCGCTGTCGTCGTTGTTTGTCGTGATTTATAACGTGCATAAAATTTGCGGTCCCTGGCAAGCGGCACCTACCCGAGCCACAACGCCAACCCCGAAAATTTGTCAAGGGAAATTCTACTAGAGTTGTGTTATTTGGAGGATCTAGTTCGCGACAGATTAACTACGTGGGTTTCAAGTTCATATGTAAGGTGGTTTTATCAGAAAGGATAAATGAATCTTTTTACTTTTCATTAAAAATAAAAAATTACTTTTAATTAAATCCCATTCATAAGTTTTAATAGTTTCTAGAGGTTAACGATTTTTATATATATAGAAACTTTTATTATTGTTAATTTGAACCACTGAAATTCAATTATAATATCACCTCTGTCTAGTGTTTGAACTTTTTAGAGTGGGTAAAGTACCCCCATTTATCCCACATCGTAATTTATTGATAGTTACCAGTTTCATTCGCATCTAATAAGCTCACCCACTCCCCTCCCAGTTTCTCACTCCCATGCATGAAATTCCACACTGTCTGAGGGTGCATATTTGAAAACTATTTTCATTGCGGTATAATTTATGGGGCAAACACAAATTACATAATCGTTTGGCCATTTATGCAAATTAATTGAAAACTGCATCCTCCGGTTTATTCTCGATTTTTACCCTTGGCTTTCTTTTCCAATTTGTTCCTGTTTATTTTTGCAAATCTTTGGCTGGCATTTGCTTGGCTTTGAAGCTATTTGAGGTACAATACCTTTTCTCTTTTCTTTCCTTTGGCATTTTGCAGTTGGTGCAATTTTTTTCTTTCCAATTTACAATAAAATTCAATAAGGTGTTGGGGATGGACTTAATGGAGATTGACTGACAGTAACTGCCAAATGTGTTCCGGGGCTTTATCCCAACGTGAACGCCTGTGTGTTTCGGTGTGTAATGCAATTTTATGTGTGCCTGTGTATAATATATCGGTTCGTGTGTGTATTCTCAATTTTTGGCGAATCTAAATCTGGTCCGACCTGGCTGAAAGCTATTTCGTTTTACCAAAAAACGAAAAATTTGCAAAAAATGGCAAAGGTTGACATATCCGGAAGTTAGAAATGCAATGAAGGAAGCCTTGAGTTGAATATTCAACTTGGTTCAATACACATTCGTTCTTTAAAACTTGATATAATAAGTATGTTCCAGTTTGCTTAAATATTTTTTAATAAACTTCTTTAAATGAAAGTTAAGTTATAAACTTTTCTTCCAAAACACTTATTTTTATGAGTATTTTTCATTACTTCAAATGCCATTTCAAGAGCAAAGCACAATCATTTTTAACACGCATACGCCCTGTTGCACCCTCATAAAATATTGTCTCCATTTCAGTACTATGTTGTGTCTTGTTTTGCTTCTCCCTTGGAGTTATGGTAGAGTATGGTATGGAGAATTTTTTAATTTTTAAAACTAGCAAATATAACAAATTGCGAGGGCTGGCAAATACACAGACTAAGAGTGAGTGGTTACAGTGACTCCGAGTTTCAAGCTCCGCACAATCAGCAAAAGTCAGCCAGCTATGAACAAAAGTTAAACAGACAAAACAAAGTGCAAAGTGCATAGGGCGGGAGGCAGGGGAGCTTGCAGTTGACATTTATAAATTTCACACGCAGGGCGCGTGAAATAGCAAAGCCAGTTTAAAGTTGAAACATTTGCGTAATTAGCGGCAGGCTTTGGCGTTGGTGGCAGCTCGAAAGGTGCAACGGCGGCATAAGGAACTGGAAAAAGGCGGCAATAAAAGTGCCGCGAAAACAAGTCAAGGCAACAACTTTAAGTGTTGGCGCAAATTACGTACCGAGGACTTAATTAAATTGTAACAATTTCTCTATTTTTTCCCGTCTTGGCCGTGTTGGCTTTTGGCCAAATGCATGTTTGCAAACTGAAGCGGCTGACAATTTACTAATGTCAGCGGTGTAAAAGTTCCAGCCCGGAAATGTGGGCGCTTGGTCGAGAGACATACGAGTCTTTGTGTTTTGGTTCCGGTTTTTAGTTTTTAATTTTTTGGAATCTTTCGGCAACTAAAAATTCCATGTACAATATTAGGCAACTATGTATATGTAGTCAGTATTATCAATAATTTTAAAGTCTAGTCTAGTAAATTTTCTTTCCTTTTTTCTTTTAGTGTGCTTAAAGGTAGTGCTTTATTTATCATTAATTTTGGCGTAACGCCATCATTTACCAACCCACTGACATCTGTCTGTTATATTGTGCGTAAAGTCGGGCGATAAGTAATTTTTTTTAGAGACACTCCCACACCCAATTGTCCTGCCATTGCGGTAACCAGTAAGTGAGGATTATCAATCGCGAAATCGTCAGCATCGTCATGCGAATCATCGACGTAATGGCCGCCGGTCGTGGCACGTTTGTCGCTTTATTCTGTTTGCTTATGAGCATTATATCTGCATTGTCACCTTGTTGGCCATTTAACATGAACAGTGCGGATGTCCTTTCCTGGACCCACCCACCTGTCCCTGTTTCCCTTATCGTTTTCACTGTACGGAACGTGAAAGCCGCATTCTCTTTGCCAGGGGTTTAAGGACATCACTGACATTGTTACTTTTACGGACACTCCTCTCTCCCATTGTTGCGACTTCCCATGTCATGTTATTCAGGTTCGGATATAAAAAAAATCGGATCTTTTGTTTCCCTTTTTTTGATAGATTCACGTTCTGTAGTTTTTTGGGATGAAAAAATTGCCCGTGCGCGTGTTTGTGATTCAATTAGTGAATGGACCTCAGGAGGATGTTGGATCTG